CGTCCGGCGACTCCTCTGCCGCTGCTCAAGAGTCGAAAGCCGTGCAGGACGCGAAAAAGACTCTCTCCGATGCAGAGCGGGATGTGCGCAATGCCGAAAACGACCTACAGCGATTCCGCGAAGACCTTGAAAAGGATTACGGTCCTGAAGGTGGCATATTCCGCGCGTTGAAAGACACGTGCATTTCCAAGGACAGCGGCGAGTATGAGTATGAGCTGTGTTTCATGGGGTCGACCAAGCAAAAGCCCAAGAAAGGAGGAGCACATACGGGAATGGGTAATTTCGTCGGCTTTGACACGGAATATGTCGACGAGCCCCCAACCACGGATGGAAAGGGGCTCGGTACGGGCGAGCGGTTGGTTATGAAGTACGAAAACGGTCAGCATTGTTGGAACGGACCGAACAGGAGTACGAGGGTCATTCTTGCCTGTTCGGAGAAGGAGGAGATCTGGAAGATCAGTGAGAGCGAAAAGTGCGTTTACCGCATGGAGGTTGGCACGGCAGCGGTCTGCGAATCACCTTCGAAGAAGAACGGCGGTGGCGGCAGCAGTGGTGCTGGGGTTGATGAGACCAAGAAAGATGAACTGTAAAGTATTGGGGGTTTTTTTGGGCTTCTGAAAAGAAAAAGCAAGGGGTCTTTTACCCGAGTAGATACGGATCAATTGGACGCACGAGATTTTGTCACAGCCCCAAGATAAATGCTCAACATCTATATCTAACACATGCCCTTTTCTGACTGATCCCTGTCTCACTGGGTTTCAAATGGAGAATGATGAGTCCTCCGTCTGTTTATCATGCAAGAAGAAAGAAAAGAGAAAAGATAAGAGATCGCTTTGTTTGTGCCTCTGTCGTAAATGTACGAATGTGAACGAATAGGCTTGTTGGTGAGCAGCCTCTGACAAAGGGGTACGATGGGCAAGGTCAAGATGAAAGAACAGGAACAAAAGCCGGATTGAGTCCGTGTAGGGAGAGTCATTACCATGCTATTTTCGTGGATGGTATATCTAAAAGAAAAAGGCCTTATTTGAGTCCTTGTCCTGCTTTCTGCCGTTCACAATGTTGGTCTGCCCCTTTTGCCGTCCAGGAATACAAGTCCGACGCATTGACGCATACCAGGCATCAAGCCGAGAGCATCGCTGCAAAGTCCACGTTCTCCCATTTTTGCCCAATCAAGGAAATAAAAGGGGGAAGTGCAGTTGTGTAGAAGATGGCAGCGCCAAAATGAGGGAACCTCCAGCAAGGATGCGGGATCTCGTGATGGATGCTTACATGGGCGATCGAAGGATCAGTTTTTTCACTGTGTGCCAGAGTCGGATTACATCGGCAAAGAGCGCGGGAAAGCTCCCGAGGAGCAAGAACCTCAGCGGACAGGCCCTGTACCGTTTCAACTATAGGCATGAAGTTAGCATGTGCTCGAGAAGCTCGTCTTCCAAGTAGGAAACTTACCTGCCTAGAGGAAGAGTGAAAGATAGGGGCAGCCATGAAAAAGCTTGCACAGAGATAGTTAACATAGGCCTTTTCATGGCTGCCTCTATCTTAGCTCCCCTCTCTAGAAGGTAAAAAGTTTGCCCACAGGAAACAGGAACTTCCCGAGCGCAATGCTAATCTCATGCCTAACCTCTCATTGATAGCGCGGACGATTGGGTCTGCTCTGGTGGCGTTGACATTATCTTGGGCACACATTAAAGTCGGTGGCAACGTGAATTTGCTTGAAAGAATATGTTGGCGATCAGAAGCTCCTCGCGGATGCTTGATGGGTTGGATAGATCAACATGCTGCATTGGTCTGCAAGGCTGCGTCGCTTATTGGCAGGTGAATATGACACCATTTTGTGAGGGATTTGAGCCAAAATTAACAACTTCACGAGGAATGGTAGGACATGACCGGATGCGTCAGAGCTAACGAATGTGAGAAAGGGACAATGAATAGTTATAACATTGAACGCTGGCGACAATTTGGACGACGAGATCCTTCTTATACCTGTCAAAAGCAGCAGCGGACCTAGCCCTGCGACCTTACCCGAAGCGGCACAACCACCACCGCAGCTGGAGAATTTCATCTCCCAGCGATTACTTTTGCAGGGACACAAAACGCCAGATCTGGCCGAACAGGGTCAAATCTTGTCGAATCCGGCCTACAGGTGGCGCTGCTTTTGGTGGACTTCGTCCATGCGGAGATCAGCACCCCCTCTCTTGTCGGAAGTCCGATGGCGCTAGGTCAGGGCTTATTTTGATGTATTCGACAGTGATTGGGTGCGCTATGGGGAGGGTCTGGGCCGTCCCGGAGTTCGGATCGTGTACTTGTACGCCGCATTGCTGGCACCGAAGCACTTGGCCCTAGCGCAACTTCAAAGAGGACGACAACATGACAGTAGAGCTGGGACTGATCCTCCCAACCCCCCTCCCTCCAGCAAGACACTGCTTGAATCTCATTACCGAAAGAGTTTTATTGTCAAGCAAACAAATCACTAAGCGTGTCAGTCGCGATTACTGTGACAGATGCCAAATGGCTGACAATGAAAATGATGATGCAGTACCTGGTCCAGAGCCCCTTGTCTTACCTACGCAGGTCATCTCTCCTCGGATATTGTCCGCATTCCCCGCTATTTCATGTGCATCTGAGGTGTCATGGTGCCCTAGATATCTGTCATCCTTGCTAACAGGAAGGTCTGCGATGATTCTTCATCAGCATTCAATCCTACGCCCGGAACTCATGTCCATGCCATACTGTGCGCTGTCTACCAGCAACAAGACATATTAAAAAGACGGGGATATTGTCGTCGTTGGTGTCCTGACGTACACTCCACCTCCAACAGTGCGGGTCCAACATCCAGTCAAAGACGCGACGAACAAACGGGGACATAGAACCAAATCTCCGCCTACGGGTGTTTATCGACTAGAACGGCCCTCTTGAATGATATTGCAGAGGTGTTCGGATCGGGAGATAGTCGCATTCATGGGATTGTTGTCCGAGATGGTGGCAATGAGACGGTGATTGACTTGAAGGTGATGTGCAGCTCGGCTGGAAACACCAGACAGACGGGGACCTAACTGTCAGTGCTTGTTACTTTGCTTCTTCTCCACGTTTTGCTAATTCCCGGGATCGACGGTGGAGATATCACAGTGTGAAGAGGCAGATAAAACTGTTTTGGGGATCCGACATCAGCCCTCACTCAGCTGGGCGGGTTCTTGGGCTTTGACATGGTCTGAGAGCACATCGAACGGAGTGGAGTGAGCCAAGACAGTGGACCTAACTTGCACACCTGGGCTGACCCAAATAGTGCAGCCGTACTCGCCGATTACTCAGTCTTGATACTGAGGAGTTCTCAATAGTACTTCATTGCAGAGTCCACGTCGTATGATCTCCACATGTCGGACATTTGCCAGGAGAAAAAGGTCCCCTAGGACTGGCACAAGAAGGATGAATGGATATGCCCCCTCCCTCCAACACTCAGCCAGAACTTGGTGAATCCTGTCAAAGCATTCCACTAAAAGCGCCATCAACATCAGCGTCCACAATTCATTGGATATGGAATACCCTCGTTACCAACCAATCGGGGTGCTTTTCGCCTGGTGGATATTATAGTGGATGCTCTGATGGTCCTCGGATCCCATACCCGTACCCCCAGCGAAGGGGTTCTGCAAGGTGACACCGCTCACTCACTTCACAACAGCAGTAGCAGGCCTGATCGGCAACGGATTTCCATATCTTTTTTTCAATCCTGTCCACCGCAGCAGAATGTGGCAAAGAGTATTTGCGAATCAATCCCCTTTTCAATTGCTTGAAGCTACGAGCCCGACTCCCGAGAACAGACAGACATACCGTCCATGACCATGACGTTGAGCCCCCTCGGAAGCCAAAGGTACCAGTGCCACCCGATCGGACTCCCCTACCGAGTACAAGCATTGACGCTGCTTCACCGTGAGTCGAGGGCGCAACTCTACAGATGGATACAGATATACTTTTCCCCCTTGCCACTTGCCACTGGGGTAAAAGGGTCTGGTGACATACATGTCTGAACTTTGTGGTATGTATGTATGCATGTATCTACGTATGCATCTGTGACTCTCAGCTTGACTTGACCCCTTACTTAGTTCCCTTGGTCCTTGGTCCTTGCCTTGGAGGCGTTGAGTAAAATGGTAAATGTCTCCAAGACCCCTTGCTTGCGTTAATCCCGACCCCCGACACCCGATATACTGTGTGAGAAACTCCTTACCAATTAAGCTTTCATAGCGCCCACGACGGCTATCAGCCAGCCATCAGCCATGCCGTGGAAGAGCCGACGTTCCTGTTTTCCCGTTCACGGGGTACATAGTACCAAGTAGAGAGGTCCACCCACGCATACAGCACACACCACATATGTAGCTGTTGATGTTTATGCGATCTACAAGTACCACTCCGTAGGGATCATCTCCTGGAATCTGCATGTTTCCGGACATTGAAACCCCGCCCGATATCTTTGTTTCTCCTGAGAATGGATGGACAAGTCTGGCAAGGAGGAATGCGGGGGGTGGGTTGCCGTGTCGGTTAATCACCGTTAAGGTTTATGCAGGGTGCCGGAGATGGGACTCTATATCTTGGAATATCTGCCTTGTCACAGCATCATATCCAGCCATCCGAAGGTTCAAGCCACGAACTCCAAAAGTCCGTTCACCCCTGCAAAGGCCTGGGGCCCCTGCCGATCCCTTCCCGCAAGCCACCTCGATTTGGTCCAAGGAGGCATCAATCCATGGGCCCAAAGGAGAAGGACCACTGTACACTGTACATGGTACTGTTGAGATGTAGTTGATGGCTGGGTCTGCTTCTTCTTCCCAGCCCGTCCAAAAATGTATATATAACTCGTGTCCTCTCCCCAGTTCTCACATTTCCTTCTTCATCCTCTCCAGCATTCATCAGAACAGCCTTCATCAGACAATTCAATCTTTTTCCAACCACACTCATTTACAATTCTTTTTCGAAAAGCTCACGCTCCTTTCGCAACTTTCCAACCAAAATCAACAATGTATACTCTTATCCTCGTCACTCTTGCCGCCACTGGCGTTTTCGCCGGCGTTCCCATGAAGGCTCGCGGCATGGACAGCGGAAGCGAGTTGACTGTCGACTCAGCCGCCAACCAGTGCGGTAACGGCCAGGTCATCTCCTGCTGCAACACCAGCACCTCCAGCGGCGATGTTGGCGGCCTCCTCAGCGGCAGCTTGAACGGTCTCCTCGGTGGCAGCTGCAGCCCCATCCCGGTCAACGGTTAGTTGTCCATCACTCGTCACAACGGGCAAACATGTGCTGACACTTCTTTCTAGTCCTTGGCGTCCAGGTCCCTCTCCAACAGGCCTGCGGTAACAACCAGGCTGCTTGCTGCACTGGCGACCAAACCGTAAGTCATCTGTGCCAGCACCCCATTCACAACAACCATCTAACATCGCCCAGGGTCTCGTCAACGTCCAGTGCACTCCCATCGGCCTTTAAGCGCCTGACACCAACGACATGGTTCCCCTTCGACGACAAGGCCGCGATAAGCTCAAACATTACCAACGCCTGGAAGAAGAGGACTTGTTAAGAGGTTAAGAGTTTTGTCATTGTTTTATTTTTTTTTGGAAGAAAACACATTTGCGGCTGGAAAAAGGTTGCGAAGTAAAAAAAGTTTACTCTTGAAAAGTATCAATTGTGTGTGCGCGCAACGAAAAAGTTTTTTTGTCCCCTGAGAAGAAAAAACTTTCCGGAGAGTCTGACTCTATTCTTCGACCTTCAGGTTGAGGGTATGGGAATGGATGGATGGTTGGATTGAGGGGCAATTACATTCTTTTGGAACCAGAAAATCTCGACGGTATAGGTAGTCACTCCTTTTAGCACAATCAACCTATTTTCGTCAACATATCTTCTCTTCAATTCACACTGTCATTCTGTGCGCGTCTCGTCTTGATGAAATCTGACAATTATTCACACCTTCGCGGGTTGGGGATTTAGTGCTCAGAAGAAAGGAAAAAGGGAGAAGGGATGCGAGACAGTCGAGGTAAGCATAACATAAAGCTGATGTCTCACCCCTGACACCTCCCGAATCTTGAATGGCAGCTTGGTGAAGGGGCGCTAGACCCCACAGGGACTGTGTCTTGGAAAAGCACCGGGTAATCAAGCAAGCCCCTTGCTTGTCCTGCTTTGTAGAGAGGTTGGGGGAGGTCAGAGCTAATAATGACATCATTCACTCAGTCACTCAGTCACTCAGTCACTCACTGTACCTCGGACTTGAAAGTTTCGAGCAGAGCCTTCGTGATTACCTCTTCTGAAATCTCATCAATCACCGCAGGATGGATCACGCAATCGATCATGTCTCGATCGCACACTAACAATAACGGCAGCTCGCGATAACGAGCGCAACGAGGTACTTTGTTACCCATTGCGCTACCATCTAGGCTACAAAGTGGAGCAGGAAAGCCTCGAGATACCTGGGTTTCGATCCGGGGTAGCGTATTTTCTTGATCGCTTCTTCCAAAAAGGTACCTCCTCGTAGGGATAAGATTCCGGTTCAACTATAGCTGTATCCAGCTTAGCTTGCCTATTGTACCTCAGGAGCTTTCCATCTTCGCTCCTATCTCTCTTTCTCTTCCATCTCCCCGCCCTCGGGAAACCAATCACTACCGTCCCGGCCCAGCAGAATCGCTGTAGATCCGCAGTAGATTCAGGGGCCGCGTTGATGAAATATGTTCCAAAAAGCCGGGAACTGCTGGGACGTCGCAGTCCGAGCTCAAAACTGTCCAATGTAGAAGCCAGGAAGAGGTTGTTGAAGCAGGGGGTTGGACAATTTCAGTCGGGATTTTGTAAAGGCGGAAAAACATTAATCCATCACCCGCTCTCGCGACTCAATCAGCCCACAGTGAGGACCTTAAGATGCGCACCGGTGGTTCGCTCTCGATTGACGTTATAACCCATGTGCACTGCAATGAGGCCTTGAAGACCACGCCCTAAGTCGCTAGTACTGGCCTGCCAGAATGAATTAACGGCCATTACTGAACGTGGCGATGGCTCTCAACTGTGGTCGAGTAGTAATCATTTGCTGCGACTAATCAGCTCCTCTCCCATAAAAGTGATGTGAAGGATAAACAGCTAGAAGCCCGTTTCGCAAACACAAATCATCTGTTCTCACTGACTTCGTCTCACCGTCAGTCAAGATGGTGCCCATTCCCGAGCTGCCAACCGAGATCTTGGCTCAGATTGTACGGTATGCACACCTCAATGGAGATCTTCCAAACCTCAGGTTGAGCAATTCGCGGTCTTGGGCACTAGCAGATCATCAAAGCCGTCTCTTGCTCGATGACCTGTGCTCGAAATACGGAATCAGTGCGCGAGTTCGGGATCGTTACCTCACTCACAAGCAAGGAAATAAATTCCCTTCGGACATTCAGCAACCGGACATCATCCATATCATGGCCTTTGGCAATTTTCTGCGCATGACAGGGCTTCTTGCTGCAGACTTGGATAGGGCAATGATACACCTAAGCCGTACCGCCGTACCTACCCTGCGAGGTTGCGCTCGAGAACCTTTCGTGTTGTTTGAAATATTCAACCAGGTGTTAAACTCATCGTTGAGAGTGTCAAATTCAGCAACGGCGGATTTACTGGTCCCTTCCCCTGATGCCGAGCAGTCTGTCTCAAAGCAGTTCTCAGAGGAATTTGTCCATTTCCTGAGACACGAACTCACGCTCGAGGACTTAGAAGGTATTATAGGCGCCATTAGCGTCTGCTCAATGCGACTCTGGAGTAGTGTCTTCTTGTTCAGGCCAAAGGATTCCAGCGTCAGCAGCTTCGGCAGTCTCTCCGGGGCTTCATTCAACATCGATCAAGCAATCTTGACTGAGCATGTTATCTGGAAAGGTCCACTTTGGGCATCGCAGATATTGAAGAAGTATGGGCTTGCAGATGTGGCTTCGAGTAATCAAACTGAGGTGGATTTCGAAATAGACGACATTCTCGTCAGGAAGGGCATTTGGAGCGGTTCGCGCAGTCAAGGAGCTCGATTGGCCGCTAATGGAGTGGCCCGACTCCTGTGGAAAGAGAGACAGCAGAGGATCGAGGCACAGACAAGCGCTTCTGCAGAAAGGACAAGTATTACAGAACCATCAGTGTGGCGAAGATTCCCAGGAGAAATATAGACGGGTGACGAGCTAGAGGGGCAAGATGCATAAGTGTTTGGATGGTGGCGGCGTTCAGCCCTCTCAGCAACTGTGACGTGGAGGGGCGGCAATGCAGGTCATATGCAGGAGAAGAACAATTGATGAGCTGGCATCTGTTCAGTGGTTGCGGCTGATGGGATAGGGAGGAGGGCACGAGGGCAAAACGCACCATGCAGGGCGCAGGCTGAAGAGAGACGCGAGAAATTCAGGCACAGAGCCGTTATAGGGCTAGGGCGCGTCTAGCGTCTTGGCATTGTTTATCCCATCGGGCTCCACTAGCGTGACCAACGTAGTAATTCCCAATAATAATAATATTGACAAGGGGCAGGACGAAGGGGAAGCGAAGCGAGCTTCCAAGATCACCGCAACTTGGTTTCCCAGGTCTCTTTGTCTCTGTCACCCAGCGCAACGACAGCAAGGCGTACCTGGGACACACGTCCTCTGCGCTACCAACAAATCAATCTTGGGATAACATCACCCCTTACAGTAATTACCTTCATCTATCGTACTCTATTTCTCTCACTTACAATCTCATGGCTGTCCTCGTATCTCAATTCTGCTGCACCGCTCTCGACGACCTAGCGCCCCTCGATGTCCCTCACCGACACCATGCCTGAGCCATTATCTTCCCTGTCGCCCGCCAAGCAGAACTCCAGATCCTCCCCTGTTAAGCTCGATTTTCTCCAGAAGCCTCTTCCAGAAGCTCTAAAATCTCCTAGCACCATGTCCACCACTACTCTCGCGCAGCCCGCCCCAATTGATACAACCAATATCTCTCTACCTGCCATGGACGATCCCATTCCATCCCCTACGCTCTCTACTCAGCCTTCGAGTCCGAGAAAGACGTTGTCGCCGATCAAATACCGCCTACAAGACGAGTCGAAAGTCGACAGCTCTCCCCCCGGCTCTCCTGCTGAGCCTACTGTTCGCTTCAACGAAGGCCTCACGCGTGCGATCGACACAATGCAGCAGGACGCAGATGCGCAAGATAATTGTCTGGAAGAGTCAATAATACACCATGCTCTTGATGATGGCATCGACATATCTACAGACTGCACCAAGGAGGTGGATACAATGACCTTGACTCTAAGTCTGGATGAGAAAACTATCCATGATGATACAATTGGGGATCTGAGCACCATCTCTGCAATCCCCACAGACCTGACCAGATTCGCAAATCTGAGAGACACACCATCCCAATCCCGGCAGGAGCCTTGGTCGCCTTCAAAACAACTCAGGCCCTCTGTAATCACAGGTACACCCGGGACTGCTCAACGTCCCTTGCGCCTACTGTCGGCCACCAGACGGAGCATTTCATCGAATGAGGAGGACGAAGCGACGCCTCGAAGAAGCACCTATTTCAACGACTCTCCAACGGATCTCTTGAATTTCACGGGACAAACAAACATTTTGATACCCCCTCCCGGCTCTGCACAACGGCCCATCAGGAGAAGTCCTTCTGGCAGGAAAGGTTTCCCAATCAAAGTCAACCCAAGTCCAGTACATCGATCGCAAGCTTCCGTGGATCGCGAACGAGCCTCAGGCCGTTCTCCGCAAAAACAGGACCAAGCTCATTTCGGAGACAAACCTATCCCTTCAACACCTGCTACCCAGAGACATAGCATGTATGGCGCAACAACCGGGCTAGGAATGGATCTATTGGATATCGACCTTGAACCCATGGCTACGCCACGGTCAATTCCCACCATTACTCCCAGAGAGCTAGAGACCCTTCGGTCGGAATTGCAATCACGAATCTCCGGCCTTGAAGCGACCCTCTCCGGCAAGGAGGCAGAAGTGATGGCTCTGAAACGTGCCGTCACTGATGCGGAAGTGCGAGTTGGCAAGACGAGTGAGGAGCTCCGAAACGAGCGTGCTTCTCGGGAGGAGTTGGAACATGCAAAGGAAGAGTTGGAGCGCCGCAGTCGAGAGATGGAGGAAGTCCTTAGGGAGGTCAAACAGAACATCTTTCTCGAGGAACGGGAAAAGGAAAAGCTTCGAAAACAGGCCGAAGATGCCGAGCGAAGGTCGGAGGAGCACGAAGTACGGATCCTTGAACTTCAAGCTTCCCTCGACACTCTGCGGTCTGACCGCATCAAGTCTACTCCAAGCCCCGAGAAGCCCGGCGCACCCGCAACGCCCGGCGTGAGCACCGATATTGATTTTGCCGTCAAGGACGCAACCGAAAAGGTCGCTCGCGAGCTACATGCATTATACAAGAGCAAACATGAGCGCAAAGTGGCAGACTTGAAGGTCAGCTATGAGAAAAGATGGATCAAGCAAGTCGAACAGCTTCGAATGGAGCTTAAGGCATCTCAAGAGGAAGTACTCAAGCTGCAAACAGAGAAAGAAGCAACCATGAGTGGCATTATTCCGGGCCAAAGCGAGGCCATGTCCAAGATGGAGGGGCAGATTGAAGAGCTCCGCCGGTGGAACGAGGAGACTAACGCTGAGAAGAAAATGCTCGAGGCAGAGGCAGCAGGGCTCCGTGGTCAAGTTGACTCGCTTACTGCTGAGACCGATTCACTTCGGAAAGAGATTGAACAAGAGAGGGTGGAGAAGGGCGAATTGGTTGCCCAGGTGGATCTTTTCCTGACAATGAGTGCCCAGCAGGAAGAACAACGCGTCATGCAACACCCACAGCAGCCCGTCAGTCCACCTCGGAGTGAAGATGGCAACGGGCGACCAAGTTCGGCGTCAGCATTAGCCAGCCCCAACAGATTCAAGAGCAGCACAAACGGTGGAGAGACCAGGTCAGCTTTGCCAGGACGGCCTCGGCCAGTAAGTATGCTGCAGAAGCCCACGGCTGGAAAATACTCGGGTATTCCAGCCCCTGGATCTGGCCTGAAGGCACCTTCAAGCAACAGCAAAGCTTCTGGATATGGAGGTCGCATCCTGGAGGGTATTGCTCGAATGGGTGCCGGCGGGAGATAACTGTCCTGGCTGATTCTGTCTTTCACGGGGTGGCGCCACGAGACTGGCCCAACCTGGTAATTTTGGATACGACTAGCATGATTGATCCCTGGATGAACTTGATGACAACGGGGGTGGAGTGGCAACGGCGTTTTCCATTGCAAAGCATGTCAAGTGTTGAGCGATATTGTAGCAGCAAGCAAGAGTTTATTGTTAGGAAGACACAGCAAGGAGGGTGGAAGGAAGTAGTCAGTAGTACATGAAACCAATGGTGTAAGTTCGATGTTCCGATCAATGCGAAAGACCCGCCGCCCTAAACCGAGAGCCCATTTGCCAAGACATTCTACACCCAAAACAGAAAAGCTCAATGTCTGCGTCTTCTCCTGCTCTGTCTGCGTCCAGCTCCTCCTTCTCTTCGGGACCGTATCCAGGGAAAAGCGGTGGCTATGGAAGATTCTGGTTAATTGATCCTTTTGTCTTCTTCAATATTTCTGTTAGGGCATACACTACAATAAGTCAATCGAAGAGACACACCACATCTCGTACAAACGATGAGAGTTTAGCCGGTCGCTCCCTCGCCCTTCCGGCGTTTCAGCCAGCATCATTTCCCAACCCGAGACGCTGCACGATCTTGTTAGGACTTCAAGGTGATACATCCCACTACCATTCTCGAGTCCTTCCTATAACAACGTAATCTCACCCAAGCGCCATTTTCCCACGGACCCGACGTCTGAGACTTGAAAAGTGGCTCGAAGCTCGATGGAGTGCCACGTGCTAACTCGATCAACCTGATCCGTAACATGGACAGCGCCCGGTATTCTCTATTCCGATTCCTAAAGTCTCCGCCTCCCGTTGTGCTGGCCTATGGTATTCATTGAGACGTGGTGGATGAAGCCATCGTGGTCAGACCTGTGCTCGCTCCTCGCTAAAATGCCGTTACGGCAGAGACCAACTTTCTCTAGAAGGGATGGTGCAGTGTCCTGGACATCTGAGGCACACCAGTGTTGGACGGAGGGAAGTTCATCGGAAGTTTGCAGGTAGGCAAACACCCATGCTCTGTATATATATACACCGTCTCCCTCTATTCCTGCTGTTCGGCTCTCTCCAGCCTGTTGATTCAGCTCGATCGTGCCCGTTCGTTCGCAACCTCACATTCTCTTTCTCTACTCTGTTCTTTCCCTTTCCCATTCAATTCAACATCGTTCCTGGAGAACCGATCAGGTCTGTGGCCTGCGCTGTATTACCAAACCAGATTCAACCCCCACGCTCTTTACGAGACTCACGATAGCATAAGCACATACCGACACAGCCGAAATGAAACCAGCCATTTGCCTTTCAATTCTCCTCGCTGCTGGATTTGATGTCGCAGCTGCCCGCCCAGCGAACCTGCACATGAAGCGGAGCCATGACCATGGAATGCAAACTCGATCTCCAATTTGGAATGCAAAACTTGGCCGACGTGAAGTGCCGCAAGAACACTCGCACGAGAAATTTCTTACCATTGTCAACCAATTCCTGAAGACAGACAACCCCGACAACATCGTGGATGCTGTATTTGGTCTCCTCGGTAATGCGGCCGCTTCTGCTGGACAGGGCGATATTTCCAACACAGATTGTCTTCAACAAGCCACTGCCGACAGAGCTTTCACCAATGCGAAAGCTGCTGGAGATGTCGATGGTATGACAGCTGCTTTGATTTATAGAGCTCTCGAACGCAACACTGGAGCTGTTGGACAAGCTTCTGTTCCCTGCACCGCAATTCAAGCTGTAAACCCGGAAATCGCGGCAATTTCGCAGCACCAGGATCCAGCCTCTGACAATGCGGCCACTGTTAACAAAGACATCGCTCTGGCACTCGCTGTTCAGATTGCCAACATCGGTGGTAACCCTCTTGATGCCCTGCAGTCCGGCACTTTTGCTCCCGGCACACTCGGTGATCCGACTGCGAAGGGAAATAGTTGCGACGATCAGAACGACCCAGTCGGCTGTATCTTCACGCAGAATCTGCTTGTTGAGGATGCCACTGAAGATGAGGTCAACGCTGCTGTCGCTGCCTCGGCCACTGCTTCTGCAGGGACTGCCGCAGCTACTGACTCGGCGGCGGCAACAGAATGCACCGCACCCCCTGCCGCAGAAGAAACTACCACGGTAGCCTCCTCTACAGTGGTTGCTGTCGCTGCCACAACGACGTCGGCTGCGGCGGTTGCTACTTCGACCAGTACCGCAAGTCAGACAATGAGCACTTCCACTCCAACCACCAGCTCTTCTAGCTTGGATTTGGGTTCCTGTGCAGACCCAACCATCATCGTAAGTCAATCCTTTCATCCAAGACACTATCTCCGAGTTCCGGCGACGTCACCGACATGAGATACTGTTAATTTACTGGCACATGCTTACAAAAGCTTCACAGTTCGCTAATGGTCTGGACGGCCGCAAGGAGCCATCTTTTGAGCCCAACGACAAGACAACATTTACGCATGGCTCCGCACTCAATATCAAGGTCATCACGGACTTTATTTGTAAGTGGTCTCTTGTTTCCTTTCTCCCAAGTTCACCACTTAGTTTCTTTTAGTGTTTCGATGAGTTTGAGCCTTCATAGCTGACATGGATATTCTTGCAGGCCAGCAACTCGACGTCAAATGCAAAGCCTCCCAGCAAGCCCTAGACGCATGCAGTCAGGGTGCCATCGCCGCACAAGGGCAAACTGGCCAAGCGGCCGCCGATGCATTCAACCAGGCACTCGGCTTCTAGCGATATCCCTCACACAGTTGATGCACCAGCCAGAGCACAGACGAATAGAGAATTGATTAACAACTATCCTCTGGTTGATGATGATCTTTGTTAGCGAACATCATCAAGGGCGGAAGGAGATATAGTCGTCAGCCACCATAGGTGGTGAAGACTTGCCGTTATGCCAGCGGTTGGTATTTCGGATATATATATGCATCATATCGAGGAGAAACATTTATATGCTCTTAACACTTCGCTTGACACTGGTCCGCCAAAAGTAACATGTGGATTTTTTATTCAAATCACCCTATTAAGCACGTGCCACAACTAGAATTAAATTAATTGAGTAGATTCATTATATCGTGTCTCAATCCCGCGTGTTAGGATCAATTAATGGGTGTCTGCACACTCCCCGGGCCCTTTGGGAGTACGAGACAGTTGAACCCCCCACCATGAAACGCCTCCGTACGGGCTTAGACCAAACTCGGTTTCCTCAGCTGAGGAGGCTCATCGGCCAGCTTGAGGACCTTCTCGACCATGGCCTCGCTGTACCCGAGGTAGTTGGCCGGGTCACACAAGCTGGCCAACTCCTGGCGCGTCATCTTCTTGCTGATCTCGTCGTGCTCGCACAGGAGGTCGAGCAGCGGCCTGTCCTCGAGCTGCGACCTGCGGCACAGGTCGTAGACGACGTCGTGGGCGTACTGGCGGCCGAGGGTCTTGCCCAGGCCCATCATGACCGCCTCGCTGACGATGCCGCCCTTGGAGAGGTCGAGGTTCTTCTTCATGGCGTCCTCGTGCACCTCGAGCCCGGCCACCAGCTCCGCCGTGTGCCGGAGCGTCGCGTGCGTCAGGGTCGACAGCTGCGGCAGCACGATCCACTCAATCTCCCAGGGCCCCGTGCTGCGCTCGTGGTCCTCCACCATGGCCTCGAACAGGCTGGCGCTCAGCTGCCGCACCGTCGACGACATGGCCGTGATGTACGCGCACGAGATGGGGTTCCTCTTCTGCGGCATCGTGCTGCTCGACCCCCTGTGAGGAGCATACGGCTCCGACACCTCGCCCACTTCGGTCTGCATCATGAGTTTGACGTCCAGCGCGAACTTGGCGCACGTGCTGGTCAGCATGGCGCACAGGGAGCCAAAGTCGGCGATGCGGTCGCGTTCCGTGTGCCACGCGATCTCGGGCACTTTGAGGTTCAGGTCTTTGGCCAGTTCGCGCTGACATTCGAGACCGAGCAAGGGGAGGTCCTGCGTGGGCGGGAGCGTCGCCAAGGTTCCCGCCGCGCCGGAAAACTCCAACACCGTCAGCCTCGCCTCGACGTCCTTTAGTCGCTCGCGATGTCGGAGAAATGTGGCGAGGAGCCTGGCAAGCTTGAACCCAAAGGACATGGGGACTGCCTGCTGAAGATTCGACCGGGCGGCCATTGGGGTGGATTTATACTTGTCCGCCAGATACCGGAGTGAGGCGATGATATCCTCGAGTGTCTTCTCGAAGAGGCTCATCGTATCCCACAGCTGGATCACCGTCGCCGTGTCGGTCACGTCCTGCGTCGTCGCGCCCCAGTGCGCCCACTCCCCGAGCCCCGGCTCGATCGCATTGATGTGGCTGACCAATTGCCTGACCAGGCCCAGCACCGGGTACCCAATCAGCTCAGTCTGCTGGCGGAGGTCGTGGAAGTCGACGTTCCGGATGTCCAGGCAGAACTTGATGATCTCGTCGGCGGCCCTCTGGGGGATGATGCCGAGTCGGGCCTGCGCCTTGGCCAGCGCGCCCTCGAACGCGAGATAACACTGTGTGCGGGTCTTGTCGGACCAGATCGCGGCGGATTCCCGGGTGGAGAGGATGTTGCCGAAGATGAGGGAGTCTTGTACAGAGGTCATGATGAGAACTATGGTATGTATTTGCCTGTTGGGGTGGTCAGTTGCAATAGTTGGGCAGACTTGAGGTTAATCACTAAAGACAACAAACAAGGGCCTTATGATACGAAAACTCTCTGTCGTGTAAGATGTACTCTTGACTTCTGGACCGCAGTGAAGGCCTTGCATAATGATGTCGTTACTCAACAGAGACATGGCCAATGATTTCTGTCCGGATCGTGGACTCAGGCAAATCCCGCTGGAATTTGGAGGCTCTCGAGAATGCGGAGGTTGGGGTAAGTTGCCGGAGTAGGAGAATCAATGTTCCGTTGTCCCGAGGGGTTCGGCACACGAGGGACCGACCTGGCCGAGTACATATATATGTACAAGGAGGTCCCTCCAACTACATCATACCACCGCAGACTCCATCAGTCCTATCGTATCGTGTGGAACTTGGATTGTTCCTTCTTCTTGTCATTCTTGCGCGGTTGCAAAGAGTCTTAGATGAGACAGGCTGTTCTACAAGTAGTAGTTTTCAACCTCGCGCAAAGCCCACGACTCCTGCGCCCGAAACAGCTTCCCCTCAAGGTCTCTCACTCCGCAGCGCATAGCCTCAATCTTTTCGGGAACATCAGTCCCAGTTCAGTCCCTCTCCAACCGTTTGTCTTCAGGTGTTGCTTCAACATGGCCAGCTCCACACGCTCTTCCAAGCGCCAGAAAACCGGCGCCGAAACGGCAAGCGAGACGGGCGATTCGCTGCCCTACAAGCTCATTTACTGGCCCAGTATTCCGGGCCGAGGCGAGCACATCCGCCTTGCCTTTGAAGCGACCGGCACACCATACATCGACGTCGCCAACAAGACCGATGCCGGCGTCAATGCGGTCATGGCTCAGATCAGCGACAAGAACATCGGAGACGACAACAACCCTCCTCCCTTGGCTCCACCGATTCTGCAACACGGCGACGACATCCTCCTGTCGCAGACACCCAATATCCTCGCCTACTTGGGTCCCAAGCTCGGTTTGGTGCCTGACGTCGCCGAGGACAGCGTCGGACTGTACCACGTCAACGCACTCACGTTGACGGCACTGGACGGCCTGTCCAATGAACCACACGACGTCCACCACCCGATCGCCAGCTCAGCCTACTACGAGGAACAGAAAGAAGAGGCTCTCAAGAAGGCGGCCGACTACCGCGCCGTCCGCCTGCCCAAGTTCCTCGGGTATTTTGAGCGTGTCCTCTCCGGCCCCGCCTCGGGCGGAGGTGAGTGGCTGTACGGCGGCAAACTGACCTATGCGGACTTGGTCCTCTTCCAGACCGTCGACGGCGTGAGTTACGCCTTCCCCAAGCGTGTGGGCAAATTGAAGAGCAGTGGCAAGTACGACAAGGTGTTTGCCCTCTACGAACGGGTCAAGGCACTGGACAAGGTCAAGAGTTACCTGGAGAGTGATAGGCGACTGAAGTACAGTATGGGGATTTACCGGCATTACCCCGAATTGGACGCCGAAGACTAGAGGGACCGTCTGTCTCAACATCCCAATGAGGGCTGACAACCACCAAAAAAAAAAGAAAAGAAAAGAAAAGAAGGGATGATCCTGGCTTTGGACCGGAAATCGGACCAGAATAAAAAAGAACGAAGGAGGAAAAAACTAGAGATGCGACAAAAAATACTAACTGGAAACAGATAGTATAGCATAGTATAGTATATACACACGTATACATCTGTCTCTTCCAGTTCTACTTGTCCTTGTACATCGATCGACACCTTCACGTATGCATCTAGAAGTACAGAAGCGGCAAAAATAGAGGAGAGTGGCTGCTTGGTCCCTACGAGGTTCGAACTCGCGACCTTAATACACCGTTAACAACCTTATTTTTGCAGAATCGACTGAGCACCTAGGGAGTCACTCACCTTGGCGTTATTAGCACCACGATCTAACCAACTGATCTAAGGGACCGTTCTCTTCCACTGCCGCGTGTTGTCGCAACCTGATCAGATTCTCAGACTTGATAATCAGATATGATTGGTCAATTGGTCGGTTAATTCGAGAATGCATTATATATGCCTTAAAAAGTCGTAAAAGTAGGTAGGGTAGGATGTTAGTCATGCAATGTATGGGCTGTGGGCGGGCACGGAGGGGGATGGATCCACGAGTACCACGTAAGGGAATGCATTTTGGTGGTTGGGTGGCGGGGTGGGTCATTCTAAGTCCGTGAGTCACTAGGTATATATCCACCATGCTGTTCCGCGAGGAGTGGAAAGAGTTGCAATCTGAAGGGTAGGTATTGTAGGTATGATGTCCCACCCTCTACGATAGTTGTTCATTGACGAGTCTGGCTAGAGTTACTGCAAAAACCTGTCCATTACTTCTGTTCGACATTTTCCCGCATCACCGCGGTGCCCTTGTCCTCGTGGTCTAGAATGACTTCCTCTACCGTCGACAGTCCCCCGGCCCCGAGCTGCGCTTCGACCTTGCCAACTTTTCTAAACAGGTGATCAAGCATTGACATTGTTCCAGAGGGAAAAGCCATAGCCTTGAAAGATGAGAATCCCGTGCACCGTAAATGCCCCGACGCCAGAGAGTTGACCTAGAGCCACGGTGGTCATACTAAACGCAGATGAAGGAGACCGCTCGGCCTCGGATTTCTGGCGAGGAAACTTCGGCCCGGTAAGCAGAAAGATTAGTGCCGATGGTGGCAGTGCCAATTCCGGCCACGATTCTGTCAACCACGACCATGGCGAAGTCTAAGGCACTGGCCTGAAGGGCAACTCCGCCCATGAGGATAATGGTACCCAGAACAAAGGCCAGTCGACGTCTCTCATGCCAGATAAACCACCAAGAGACGAAGAAGTTGCCAATGACATTGCCCAAGCTGATCATACTAGCCACGACGCCTTCCCGCGCACTGGACAGGTGGAAGTAGTCGCCGAATTTTTGTCTGAGAGGGTGATCGAGTAGATGCCTGAATCAAAGCCTTGGAAGAGATTGGCGATAGACACCGCGACGCAAATCCAGTAACTGTACCAATTTTTATGCGTCGTGTGGGGCGTATTATTGTGGTCGGAGAAGGGGATACTGAGGTCTCAGAGATATGTATCCAGTCGGCACGATCACCTCAATTCATATGCTTTGCCCTCGATGGACGAGTCTGCGCTGCCTCTCGGTTCAACAAGCGAAAGTCGTCGATCTGGAGACTAGGGTTCGCTCCTCGAAAACTCTGCAAGAAGCTAGACTCCTCTAGCACTACCGGGACCGGCGGTACCGGTGGTCTTCCTGCCATACCCTATGCATCCGTTTCCTACAGACCTCTGTATTCATGGAGTAAATCCCGGTGGTTGCAGATCCGGCAAGTGAAATTGACATTTGGTGCGAAGATGACGGCCACTAGACAGCGAGGCTGATGTTGGTGTTGGAGTCGGAGGTTTTATACGGGCGTTTAAGTGCCAAGGTACCCTAGCTCATTATAGGTTAGAGCGGAATAATAGCGGCGATATCCTCGACTAGCAGTCATTGAACGTGGCAAGCGTGGCGCATACCACAACTCACCACCACCTCCTCCAGCAGATTCGAGACAAGGACAACTTACAAGGGAGAAGTTCGACGACTAAATCTTGCCAGAGCTTGCCAAAGGGCTTGTCCTTCTGCTGCATCCTCAGTCTGTCCTGTAATCGGCTTTCGCACCCATCTCACCAACAATCCTCGCTCAGCCTCATTCCGCAACCATGGTCTATCCACAGGAGACGTTCATGCGGACTTCAATTACCTCAGGATCACTGATTGCCCGACGTCGAGAAGCTGTGGCCTCCGAGACCCTCTTTCACCTACTCAGAAAGATGAAAGAGACGGGCAGATATGACGCATTCGACATGGCATGGCATCCTTCATACAAAGATCACCCTCGAGTATGGCCAATACCAAATCATCTGTTGTGGTAATTGCGTCTCGTCTAGTCCTGACTGGCATTGAAGAAGGTAGCTAACATCAAAGAAAAAAAATCGAAGGGAATCTGATATTGCCAGGTGGATCGAAGGAGCGTGCTATCTCCTCCCTGAACATCCTGACGCCATGGTTGACACGGCAATTAAAGAGCTGGTGCGGATGATTCGGGAAGCTCAAGCTCACGATGGATATCTCAGTATCCATTTTATGGTCGTCGAGCTTGGACAGCGATTCACCAACCTGCGTGATTTCCACGAACTCTACAATGCAGGCCATCTCATTGAGGCAGCCCTAGCTCACAATTACCTCTACAAGAACGATGACCTCCTCGACCCGATGCTAAAGTACGTCGAGCTTTTATGCAAAAGATTTGGGCGCAAAAAGGGTCAGATCCCCGGCTACCCAGGCCATCCCGAGATCGAGCTGGCACTTCTTCGATTGTACCATCGTACACGAAATCCCAAACACCTCGAGCTCGCAACATTCTTCATCACTGAGAGAGGTAATCCAGCTGGCATCGGTGGCAGTCACTTCTACCGTTACGAGGCGAAGAAAAGGGGCGAAGCGCCACATGTGATACTGCCATATTGGGGCCAGCCCGATGCTCTTTGGTATTATCAAGCCCACAAGCCGATTGTGGAGCAAGAGACTATCGAAGGCCATTCTGTCCGCGCCATGTACCTCCTTACAGCAGCTGCCGACTTAGTGCGCCTTGACCCAACCTCAGACGGGCGCTTGAAAGATGCTATATACCGGCTGTGGGCCAACATGGTGGAGTGTAAAATGTATGTGACGGGAGGAATCGGCGCCATAAAGCAATGGCAGGGCTTTGGACTTGATTATTTTCTCCCTCAGGGTACCGACGAAGGAGGCTGCTACTCAGACACCTGCGCCGCCATTGGTGTCATGATGCTTGCTGAGCGAATCTTACAGTTTGATGTCGACCGCCGATTCAGCGATGTTATGGAGTTATCGCTATACAACGCCGTGTTGACGGCCATGTCGCATGACGGTACTAGGTTTTCGAACGCTAACCAGCTCGCGTCCAGCGACCAAGACCCTTCAAAGCGTGCAGAATGGTTTCCGTGCGCATGTTGCCCTCTGAACGTTCTTCGATTGCTTGGACAAATTGGTGGCTACGTGTACACGCAAACAGCAGAGAAACCACATCGAATCAACGTCCATTTATATATCTCAAGCACCTACGAGTTTAGATCTGGCGCCCAGCTTGCAACTTTATGTCAAAGGAGCCAATGGCCCTGGGATGGGAAGGTTGATTTCACTCTTCAGACGCAGTCCCCGCTGGTTACTGTCGATGTAGCTCTTCGAATACCGGGGTGGGCCACGGAATGGAAAGTAAGCTACCACTAAATCAATCTTCCACTCTCGAGGAAAATTCAAGTGTCTAACGAGGTGTTAGTTAGATCCTGCGCCGCCAACGTATGCGGTCGAGAAAGGCTATATCATTCTACCGGCTGATTGGTTGTCCACTTACCGCTCTTTTTCTCTCAATGTCGATATCTCGCCTCGCCTTGTCGCTCCGCATCCATATACGAACCAAGACACCCTGGCAGTGGTTCGTGGGCCAGTCGTGTATTGTGTCGAGGATGTCGACAACCCTTGGGTGGACGACCACTTCAAAAGCACTCTGCTCCATCCTTCATGTTCATTTGTGGAGAAAACAGTCACCGACGCTACTACACGAGACACGTACGTGGCACTCACCACAGATGGAGTGAGCAAGCTCGACGTGAAGCACATTCATGCCTGTCCCGGTGTTGAGGTGAGAGAGCCAGAAACGCAAATACTCGACAAGGGTGTCATCACTGAGTTGAATTTTGTACCGTACTACTTCAAAGCTAATCGAGGTGGCCGCGGCCATGCAAGAGTTGGGTTGAGAAGATGGTATTAGGACCTGTGAAGTACTTGTATACACCACAGGACTGACGAAGAGGTGTACCTATCATCGTGAGAGATTGGGAACCCTGTATTGAGGTAGGTGTCAGGGCAGGGCGGACGCTGGACCTTCCTGCCACCCTACAAGATTCTGGCAGAGGCATGGGTTGTCAAGGTCCAGCCCTCTTCTGCGATCCCTCGAGTCGGAGTCATTGATCACAGCGACAGCAAATGCCAGTCTTTGATACCGGTATACAATCCGTCAACCAAGCCGAACAGTGGCCAGGCCATACACGCTTTCATATTTCCTTCTCAATGGGTGCTTGGATAGGTTCATCTGTAGGCGCGCTTCCAGAATGCGAAGAACCTTCTTCTCCTGCCTCCGCGGAAGCAATATAATCGTTACCAAAATGTCGCAGCACCAGCCACGTCGGGAGCAAAGCGGCTGCCCAGAGTCCGAAGTTGATATACACTCCGCCTACTTCTGCGAATATCTTGATCGAGTTCAGCCCGTAGCTGACAGCCTGCCATGCGGATTCCGTCCTATATTCGTCAGCCGGCCATCGACGAAAGAAAACAGTGAGGGGTGGTGGTTTGCCCTTACCCACGAAGCAACGCCGCATAGCGAATAATCTCGACTGGCGTTGTGGACAGCTGCGCCATTATGAAATAGCAAAACAAGTAGTTGAGCTGGAAACCAGTGGTCAAGAACAAGAAGGGAACAAATGCATGGCCAAAGCCACTGCTGGCCCAGTCGTACGATGGCCTGGTGTGTCGGAATTTTGTTACTAGAACCGTGGCCCAGAGCCACCATCCGCCTTGCAGCACGACAATTGTGAAGAATGCCGATCGTGACCGGAGCTTCACCGACAGCTTGGTGCGATCAAGATAATGACCAAGAAGATTACCGCAGGTCACGGCAAGAATGCCAGACAAGAACGAACCGAGTGCGCGGGCCCGGACACTGAACCACAATGAGAGATATGTGAAGAAGACAGCCTCTGCATACACGGTTTGCCCGATGAACAAAATCAACAGCAGGTACCGCTTGGTGAAGAAGGTCTTCGTGGTGGCCTTGAGTTCGTGCCAGGGATGTTCGAGGATTTCCAACTCGACCTTGATGCCGTCGGTGCGCTCGACTTTGTGGGGTGGGTTCAGCAGTGCACCGACGAATGGGCCTGTGGCTTGCAGTGCGATGAAAATCAAGTACACGGTATAGCTGACCTTGCCTGCCTCACTGCGATCGACATTGATACCCAGGTTGATTGCGCCGCCCAGAATTTGCCCACCGAGGCGGTAAGTGAGCCAATACCCCAAAACCTTTCCGCGGTTGTAAGGCTCTGGGTATGCCATTGCAATAGCAGCCTCCGCCGCCCAGAAAACGCCAGCTGAGATCCCACAGAGGGCCGCTCCGACGAGTACCAACCACTCTGTGCCGAACCGATTGTTGATGTAGAGGCCTGCCGCATATGGGGCGTATCCCAAAGTACCGAACATGAGAGCGCCCTTGATGCCAATATACTTTGTGAGGACCGGAGAGAATAAACAGGACACCACCATGAGACAAAAGGTCAGAGCATTTGCAGCATTGACTAAGTACGGCTTCTGCAAGCCACCCGCACCGAGAGAGTTCATGGCTCCCCAGATACCCGGCGCGGCGAAATTACAAAGTCCAAGGATGGTGGCGTTGTAGAAGGTCGAGCGGTACCAGCGCACTGTGAGGTGATTAGGGAGGCTTCCTTTCTTACTCAGGGCTAAGACACTTACCTGGGTGCTTCTGGACAGATGTTTCCCTGACATCTTGGAGTTCAGGATGCTTTGTCGAGACCGACGCCGACCGAGACATGGTTTCGTACCGCGCCCGAGCGAGCGAACTAAGGACAAACCGAATGTAGAGCGAGGCTCTGGGTTGCAGGCTGGTCAGGAGGCGCAAGAGAATCGCAAGGAGCAGGCGTGCCACGACAAACTCAATATACGAGCTTGAGGATTCAATGCCTTTCTCGCATCATATTGACCGCACGACGACCTTATCTATGTCCTTTCTCCTCTCGACCAAATTTCACGTGGAATCGAGCCGCAGAACTTCTGAGAACAAAATTCCGTTCCTTAAAGACGTCAGACACGCGAAGAGCACGCCATGCTCCAGAAACACACGAAAAAGGCACCTCTTTCCAGTCATCATAACGAGAAATCTGGTCTGCAAATCCTTGTGCATAAGACGGACGATCCAGGTACCCATCCGTTACCAGGGGTGAGGAGTCTTCGCTTGATGGAAGTGGTAACTCTGGACAGTCCCGAATGGCCGATAACGAGCCGAAGGATAACAGTTGCTTGTCGTTGAACGGCCGTCGATCTTGTGTGACAAAGAGATTTGGAGTTGTTATGGACAAAGTGGAACCACAGCCATGGAGACGAGGCAACTTCGTGATATATGGAGAAGATTGCACCATTCGCTAACCACTTCCGGATACTATCAGCACTTGGCCGACTTCCTGGAACTTGTCAAACAGAACTTTTTATGGGCGAATGAACACGGACATCAGCGCGAGTCTTACTGAAACATCAGCATTAAGGGAGGAAAAAAAAATAAGTGTGGCGTGTCCAACTCACATTGATATGTGAAGGCCATGTCCAGGGGTTTGCAAAGACTAGCTGGCCAAGGCACTGACGGCAGACATCAATCTTATATCTTTTTAGATTCAGCAGATTAGGAGCCATCCCAACCAACACCATGTCGTCAACCAACGGCGCGCCAGAAGCCCATGCGGGGTCCCATCCCGTCAAGAAGCAGCTCATCTTGAACGCCTTCGTCGAGACATGCTCAGGGCACCAGTCGCCTGGACTGTGGAGGCATCCCGCAGACAAGTCGCATGAATTCAGCAAGCTGTCCCATTGGGCCGAGCTCGCTCAGCTCCTGGAGCGTGGCAAGATCCACGGCATCTTCATCGCTGATGTGCTGGGAGGCTACGACGTGTACCGGCAGTCGCTCGACCCAGCCATCCGCTCCGGCGCGCAGTGGCCAGTGCATGAGCCGCTGGCGTCCATCCCGGCCATGGCAGCCGTGACCAAGTCCATCGGGTTCGGAGTGACCGTGTCGACGACATACGAGCAGCCGTATCACCTGGCCCGGCGGTTGTCGACGCTTGACCACCTGACCGAGGGCCGCCTGGGATGGAACATCGTGACATCGTACCTGGACTCGGCGGCGCGGAACATGGGGCTGGTGGCGCAGCCGCAGCACGACGACCGCTACGCCATGGCCGAGGAGTACATCCAGGTCATGTACAAGCTGTTCGAGTCGTCGTGGCGGGACGACGCCGTGAAACTCGACCGCGCCACCGGCGTGTACACAGACCCGGCGCTGGTGCGGGAGATCAACCACCGCGGCAAATTTTTCACGGTGCCGGGCCCACACATCTGCTCGCCGTCGCCACAGCGCACGCCGCTGTTACTCCAGGCAGGGACGAGCTCCAAAGGCAAGGAGTTCGCGGCGCAGCACGCCGAGGCCATCTTCGTGTCGACGCACGCGCCCGAGGCGTGCAAGGCTAGTATCGCCGACGTGCGGCGCCTAGCCCAGGACAAGTTCGGCCGCGACCCCAAGAGCATCAAGGTGCTGGCGCTGGTGACGCCGATCCTGGGCCGCACCGAGGAGGAGGCGCAGGCCAAGTATGCCGACTACAAGCAGTACGCGGACCTGGAGGGGGCGCTGGCGCTGTTTGGCGGGTGGACGGGGATCGACCTGGAGCGGTACGGCGAGGGCGAGGAGCTGCGGTACGTGGAGAGCAACGCCGTGCGGGCCACGGTCGAGAGCTACGCGCGCTTCAGCCCCGGCGTGGGCGTCTGGACGCGCCAGACCATCGCCGAGCACGTCAGCATCGGCGGCAACGGGCCCGTGCTGGTCGGCACCCCGTCCCAGGTCGCAGACTCCTTACAGACGTGGGTCGACGTCGCGGACGTCGACGGCTTCAACATCGCCTACGCTGTCTTCCCCGCCAGCTTCGACGACCTTGTCGACCTGCTTGTTCCCGAGCTGCAAGCCCGCGGCCTCTTCTGGGGAGACTACGCCGTCCCCGGCGCAACGTACCGCGAGAACTTTTACGGAGTGCCCGGCCAGACGGGGCCACGGGACGAGCACGTCGCGAGCAGGTATCGGTGGAGAGAAGGTGTCGATGCCAAAGACCACGAGATTCCGGCTTAGATTGGATGAGATTAGAGCTGTCAGGCCAGGTCAGGTCAGGTCAGCGGCTTGGCTTCGAGCGGGCTTGAGGGTGACGATCCATGAACAAAGCGATGGGAGAGGGAAAGGGAGAGAAACAGGGACACGAAAGTATTCTTATCCTTTTGGCTCGGGATGCTTCTATCAAAGATCAAAGCGCAGCTGTTCTAGTGGCGCAACCACCCGTGGCTTTCACCTTCTTTGGTCGTTTCTTGCCTATTGTGTCATGAAGGGGTTCATGTTTCTTGGTCGAGGAAAAAGAAAAGTGTGACGGACTCGGGTCAGCAACAAAATGAAACCGAGTGAACCTATCGAGTCGACGGTACTCGACTCGACTCAATAAAGTCCAGATTCTAGTTTTTGATATAGAAAAAAGCAGAAGAAAGAGGCCTGTGGGCGTCTTGCGTCTCCACTCCAGCCATTCCGTCCTCCACTCTCAAACACATGTTCAATGAGTCTAATACTGAACCCGCCGTCAAACCGACGCAAATCCAAACTTCTGCCACACCTCCCTCTCCCCCTTTTCCCCCATCTCTTTTGTTGAAAGAGCCCATGGGATACCGGAAATAGATAGACCAGACCAAAGCGAACTTTGACCTGAACTCCATCAGATGACCGTGTCGACCGCTCCCTCGTCCGACGACGCGCAAAAGTACAGGCAAGAACGGCACCGGGGTGGAAAGGCGCATGCGAGGGCCGCGAAAGACGGTCAACGCCCAATCCGCGCCGAGTTGCTCAAACATGGGGAGCGACGCGACGACCAAGCCATCCAAAAGACCGACCGATATTGGCAAAAGGGGTCCGCCGATCATGGCCTACCAAAGCATGGCTTCTGGACCGGTATGGCTTTTTCCTCCTGCCACAGCGTGATTGTGCTCCCTTCCAACCATCATAACCACCGACGACGGGTCTCATCACCGGACCCAAGAGCGCGACACACGCAAAGAATGGAAAGATCCTGGCCCCGCTCCCATGATCAAAGATATCACCCAGAGTACCACCGGCAGCCGTGAACGGAGGTCGAACCACAAGTAACCGCAAGGAATCGAAAGGCTAGTTGGGCTCTAAGGGTTGGAGCGAGTGCAGCACCCAGGATCCAGCAGCAGTACAAGGTAAAACTGATCAGGTAAACAGGATTTCTCCCGCGCTCCTCAGACAAGGGGCCAGCGAAAGGGGCGCCGCATCCTAATCCGACCAGGTAGAGTGTCGTAGCCAGAGACTCGGTCACTTCGCCAACGCCAAAATGCCTCGAAGCCTCTGAAAGCACCGCCGAGTCAAGGGACGATCCTAAGCCCACAATGAATGCAACGAATGAAATGATCAGCACGACACCCGCCTTCTTGAGGGAGGGTCAATTCCGAGGGTTTTCTTGGTCGTTCTCGCCGTCAAACGCAACCACCATCTGCTTCTGCATTACACGTGTTGTCTCCGAAGGAGCCTAGAAATCACTCATTCCCATCACAGTCGGCTCCCTGCAACCAGATCAAACTTCTGCCCAACAATGTCTTCACTCAGTTCCCAGAGTCTCTCGGCCGCTCTCTCATCCTTTGCCCATTTTGCAGGCTCTGCAACTTGGCAGTCGCTCAGGTAGATGACCCCCGGATCCACAAGCTTGGGATCGAGCGCGGCGACCAGTGTGGTTGCACTACCTTGGTCCAGATCCTTCCAAAACCCACCTGTCTTCTCGATCAGTGACACATCCTTCTCGTCCAAGTTACGAGAAAGATCCGTCCAAATAGACCCTGGATGCGTTGCGATCGATTGTATACCTGCACTTGCAAGGTACCGGTTGAGATAGAGCGAGAAGAGGATGTTCGCAGTTTTTGATTGGGCGTAGGCCACGAAAGGAGCATAAGTCTGCCCTGCAGGCGGGTCGAACGACACATTCGGCCTTGACATTGGTCGCTCCTCGGCAGGGATTTGTTCTGGTCGTTTACGGAAACTGTGGTCGCTGAATCGTACTGGAGATATTATATGCCCCTGGCTAGTAAGATTGATGACTCTCGTCGACCCCTTCGTTGAGTTCTGCGCCGCTCGGAGAAGTTTGGGCATCAGGAGATTTGTAAGGAGAAATGGACCAATGTGGTTCGTTCCGAACTGAAGTTCGAGACCGTCCGTCGTGAACGCGTGCGTAGACATGACCACAGCTGCGTTGTTAATGAGGATATCGATTCGATCTACCAGATCATGGATAACCCTGGAAGCCTTGCGAATGGAATCGAGAGACGACAAGTCGACTTCGACAATTCCAAGCCGCACTGTCGGATGGTCGGTCTTCACTTTGGCAGCTACCTGCTCGATCTTCGCCTTTGTTCGAGAAGCCAACACCAAGAGTGAAGGCGACTGAGCGGCCAGGGCAGTGGTCATTGATTCACCGAGACTTTGAGGCGATACCCCTACAATGACCACTGCATCAATGTTGTTAACGAAATTTTGGGTCGGAGAAGAATGTGAGTAAACTCGCCTGTCTTGCCCCGAACCCCATCACTAAATGCCTTTGCGACCTCTGTTGCCGTCGTGTATTGATTGTACTCTGGGTGTGAAGTCATTGTGAAGCAATGCTGTGGCGGGAAGTCAGCCTCAGGAACCTCGACAGGCCAATCAAGTGCCTAGAGGAAGGTCTTATGGTACAAGAATGCTGCGCGGTGGCAGAATAGAGGAGGGGTAATTCAGCGGAAGGCGGCTATTAGGGAATGTGCGAGTCGATCTGTTACAAAAATCGGACAACGGATTGAAGCGAGTCCGAGACGAGAAGATAGACTTGTATGACTGGATGGCAGGAGCCGAAGCGCTCAGGTCACCTGTTCGGGGATAAATATTCGACCTTGACAACCTCGTGCAGTGGACTTACTCTTCTGGTTCGACGGGCTCTCGTGGTTCTAGACAAGAAGTTGTGAGCAGCGAAACCCGCTTCCTAAATGCAAGGGTTGAATGGAGGCAGCATGCAATTACCTTCTCTGGCAAAAATCCACTGCGAAACGGGGTTCAATATGACAAACAGGCTTTGTAGGCATGGCATACTCCAGACCTAGAGCCTGTCCTCAGAAGGGGAAAAGATGGGGTGAGCGACGTCGATGTGGAGAAGGTTATCCACTACCAGGACGGAGCCCAATTATCCCCCGAGATCTTGTATTCCATTATCTGTTTTAGTACAATGCATGGGTCGGCAGTTCGGTTGGAGAAAGGCTGCACTATCTCCGAAGTCACTCACCATCCGCGCTGCATTGCGCGTGAGGAGGGACTGATGAGGTCGCCGTGGGGCTATATCGGCTTGATGTGCTGATCAAAAGGGGATTGGATGTCGTCGGACCTCGATTTCCCATCACAAAGTCCTCAAACAGTTCCTGTTTCCTTGGGAGATCGAGCACATCCAAGAGCCAAGTAGAGAGACCGAGCGAGGTCTACCGAGAGCATCATGGCTGCAGAGGAACCCTTTGCAAAGTCCAAGACTGGCATCAAGGTGATTATCGTCGGGGCAGGTATGTAGATCCAGTAGTGCTCCAGAAAGGATTGCAGAGTTGACAAGCAAACTAGGTTTCGGCGGCCTTACAGCAGCGATAGAGTGCCATCGTCAGGGCCACCAGGTGGAAATTTATGAGTCGTTCCCTGAGCTCAAGACCTTGGGAGACATAATATCCTTTGGCGCAAATGCTGGGCGAATATTTCGTCGATGGGGCGTCGACGGCTCGATAGCTAAGAAAATGAGAGCTCTAAGTATCGACCTCGTTAAGCATGGATTCAAAATCCACAAGTACACCGGAGAGCACATCATCACTCAACCGACACCCCCCATGGATCCCGATGCACCGGTTTTCAATGGCCATCGTGGAGAGTTGCACGAGGTGATTTTCAATTACGCCAGGGACGACCTCAAGATCCCTATTCATCTTGGACAGAAAGTCGAGAAATACTTCGAAGAGGACGATAAAGCTGGTATCGAATTGGTGAATGGAGAAAGAGTATGACCTACCTATCCGTTTTGATGCTCGGACAGCCTCGTTAACGAGCCTCAGGTATATGGCGATATGGTGGTGGGGTCGGATGGCGTGAGGTCAAAAGCACGGGAGCTTGTCCTGGGATATATTGACAAGCCAAAGAGCAGTGGCTACGCGGTCTTCCGTGCCTGGTGAGTTTTGGACAGAGTGAAGGACGTGGCGAGTGGTTAACTGTTCTTGGTCAGGTTTCCAAATACCGATATGATTGCCGACCCCCGGACGAAGCATTTCTGTGACAACGGCGACACGTTCCAGGGCTGGATCGGGCAGGATGTCCATTTTCTTTTTTCGACCATCAAGAACGGGAGTGACTGCTGTTGGGTGTTAACGCACAGGGTAAGTACATAGCGACCTGTTTCTTCGCCTCGCCTAACTCTTGCACAGGATGAGGCAGATATCGACGAATCTTGGTCATTTCCAGGCAAGCTAGAGGATGTGTACAAAGTATTCGAGGGTTGGGACCCTCTCTGCAAGACTATTGTCTCAAAAACGCCGGAGAGCCACCTCGTCGATTGGAAATTGGTGTACCGAGATCCGCTGCCAACATGGGTCAGCAAAGGCGGTCGTATCGCTTTGCTGGGTGATTCAGCACATCCCTTTTTACCAACCTCGGCTCAGGGCGCCACACAATCGATGGAAGATGGTGTCACTCTAGCAGTTTGCCTCAGGCGTGCCGGGAAAGGTCAGGTCCCAGATGCTGTCCGGACATATCAAAGGATCAGGTAGGTCATGTTGAGCCTTATTTCAGTCACATCCTGACACTGTCTCCAGGTATGACCGGGTAAAGGCGGTGCAGAAGACGGGAGAAACGACACGGGACATGTGGCACAAGGCGGATTGGGATAAAGTCAAGGAGGATCCCAAGTCCGTACAATTTCCGCGCGAGGACTGGATCCACATGCACGACGCCGAAAAGCATGCGGAGGAAGTCTTTGATGAGAACTTTGCTGCAACTCAATCGGCGGAAAAGGGGGTCCCTGAAAAGCTGATGAGCGGAGTGGACACGGTCAGTGGTGTCAATGGCGTACACAAGGCTACCGCAGTGGGTGAAGTGAATGGTACTCACTAAGCATTTCGTCTATCCTGTACGGTGGCTGAGATCATGGCAGACTTGATGCACTTACGGGGGAAGCTGTGATGATTTAGTCCATGGTGTTGAGCCCATGTCGGGCATAGAGAAAGGGAATGTGCACTGGGTATGATAAGGTCTTCATCGTTATCGTGTGGGGACAAGAGATTGGAATGGTAGTGCTTTCGGGATTGGCCACTTTCGATGGATCGTTGTCTTCGAGACCGTGATGCTTGATTGATGTTTGATGTGCGCAAGAGACTGGATGGAAGTCAGGCTGCGCCCAGCGGAGATTGTGACAGATTGAAGTACGGCAGACCATATGACCACGTGACGCACAAGATACGGTGGACCATATACGCCCACAAGTGCATCATAAAATCCCATCCACGTCAAGATCATTTCATCTTCACTCGTCCACAACTACAACAATGATGCAGATACTATAGCCTCCTCATACCCTAAACGGTGCTCAGCAATGGGTATTCCACGACTGTCGCAGGATCTCTCTCCCTATGCGGATCGAGTCATCCTGGGTACTACCCCCCAAGCCTCGACGCCACCTGATGCCACCATTATCAAAGACCTGATCATTGATGGACCTTCACTTGTATATTGGGTGTATAACAAGCTTGTGGCACATCAGAGATTAAACAGCATTACGAGTGCAACCTTGCCGCCTACATACGGTGAAATCAATCAGACCCTACACCACCTGCTCCATGATTTCCAGGCCCGTGGTGTTAATATTCAACATATTTTCTTCGACGGTGGTCTTCCCGCGTCGAAACGTCCCGTTCGCCTTGAACGTATGGAGAAGCTCCGGCAGCAATTGCAAGTCTACCGCAACTTCTATCCGGAATTTCCCCCAGCTGCTACTTTGCCTAGTCTTCGGGGCTTCGAAAAGATCCTTTGGGATACTCCTGTCTTGTCAACGAGGAAGATAACTCTTCCAGCTCCACCGTTCATGGTTGCCAGCGCGATTGAGTCTTTGAGCACAACCGAATGGAAGGACTATGTTCACGTGGTTCCGGGTGAAGCTGACGCGTTCTGTGCTCTTGCTGCTCAACAGTCGACATCTGTTGTGGCCATCCTCACAAACGATTTTGACCTAGTAATACACGACCTCGGACCAAATGGTCGGGTTGTGTTACTGCACAGCATCGAAACCAAGCACAGAGTTCCTCAAAAATCGTCTTACATTTCAGCGCTGTCTTTCGATCCGAAACTCATGACAGCCAGATTCAAGGTTTCATCGTTGCTCAGTTTTGGTTTCGAGCGATTTCTTGATTCTGGTGCATCCTTCTCAATCATTCAAGAACGCGCGAGGGATTCATCTAGGTTGGAGAGACTTCAGAATGAGTACATGATGTTTGCGGAGCCATTTGTCCAAAGCCCGCCATCAGCGGCCTCCTTTTCCTATCTCAAAAACCTCGATCCACGAACAGCAGAGATTGTTGGCGACCTCAGCGATCCGCTACATATCTACCTAATCCCGCTATTGGAGGACCCCCAACGTGATTCTTCGTGGTCTTATGGAGCCAAAATACGGCAAATCGCGTATTCTCTGCTCTTGAAAACATCTCCTGATGCTGTGGGCGGGTCGCTACACATGGTCGAATTTGCCAGAAAAGGACAAAGAATCACGTCCGCCTCGGTTACATGTCTGCAGCTACCTGAGGTCATAGAGAAAATGGCAGAACTGCTTCAGCTCCTGGATGCCCTCAGCTCGTTCGCCGAGCAGACCCCTACAGTCTCGAACGAGAGCAGGCTTCTAGAGTGGTACATGCCTGCCGTCTGCCTCGTCCAACAAGAGAAATCCAGACTTGGCAAAACTCCTCCATCATCAGAACATGTTTTAAAACTTCTGGGGCTGGGGCTGACGACGAAAATTTCAACATCAACGAGAATAACATGGGACGACGTCCACCTCCTTGCAAATATCCAAGCAGTGCTTTACTCTATCCGAATGCTTGCGCAAATAACCGAGTACATTGTCAAAAGCCACAGACTTTCAGACTCCATTTCCACCCACGACCTTGTCCACCACGAAGATGTCTCAAAGCTCATAAACAACCTTCACACTAAATTATCAACTTTGCCTCCCGTCGAGACCTTGTTCTTAGACATCCCACATCTTCGTGCTCAAGTGAGCAACGCGGACCTCAAAACACAGGGCTGGGCATTCACCTCTCTCCGTCGCCTGCTTGATCCTGACTCAGGCGTGAATCAAGCGGACCATGACACGAGTGTTACCGCAACTGAAGAGCGTGACCCTGCAAGTGGAGACTGGATTGATACAACAGCAAAGAAGAAAAAGGAAAGGAAAAGGAAACGTCAGGGCAATGTTGACACAGTTACAACCCGATCTACGAATGGGTTTGACCTGCTATTGGAAGAACCTGGATAGATTCTCATGCCCGGTATGGGAGACATCATTCTACGGAGACCATCCTCAGCAAATGCCAAACCACCGATTCATTCAAAGCATCATTGTCTACGTAAGGACAGCCAATCCACCTAAGGCTTCCTGGATGATCGCTTCCATCTCCTGCTCCACATCTACAGGGAAGATGTCCGGCTCATCAACGTCAGCGTGTCCAGTGGTATCCAACCGCGATGCTAACATGTCAAGCTTCATGGTGTTTCTTTGTCCGTCGGCCACTCTTAGGCGTATTTCGTCTTTAGCCGCCTGCAAGACCACAAATACAGTGTTGATGTATTCTGCTTCAGTCTCGTTGTTAGACCTGGACAGGATATTCCTCAGTGCATTGCGGTCGGACCGGGAAAGTGCGGAGCACGTTAGTATCATGTCTTTCTCACTTCGCCCGCCGGACTTCGGCTGATCACCATGGACAATGTGATCGGCTCGAACACGTTCCAACACCTCAAGTTTCATTCGAGCAAGCCAGATCTGCCTATCAAGGAAGCTAAGATGGATTCCACAGCTCATCTTAGCCTTTGCAATGGCATCATGAACCGCATCCCCATCAATCACTGGGCAGGATAGGGATTCGGCCAGCTCAATGGCAAGGGTGCTCTTATTAATGCCAGGGGGACCCGACAGGACGATGAGCCGAGTTGGCTGCCGCTGCCGGGATCCTGCTGTTGGCGCCTTAGCCGTCCAGCTGGTCTTCAGAAAATGCCCGACAAACTTCTTCACCAGGTCTGTGGACAATGCAGGCACCATACCGAGCTCGGGAGAAATTTGTTCTGCTGTGGATGTGACATACTTGAAGTTCTTCCTCTTGGTGAGGTCATTGTCATATTTGCTTGCGAAGAACTCGACGAGTTTGATTGTGGGATTCTGTTCGGGGTCTGGATTTGATGCGCGCAGGCGGCGGATCCATTCGCGCTGATTCACTTGGGTGAACGACAGACCTGCATTGTGTAGTGCAGGCAGGAGGTCATTCGTCCAGTGGAATGTGCGGGGATTCACAATGTTAAAGACTGAATGTGTGGTGCTCGAGAGGGAGATATCCATAACCACCCTCGCGACACTATCCACTGGCAACCAACGGGGATGTTCGTCAAGGGTTGGGAGTGCCCCGATTGTGGTCGCCGCTTGCAACATTAGGGGGATAGCCTCGGTGTCATTCCAAATGCCATGTGCGGTGTCCGCAATGATCTGTCCGACTCGCAAGACGCGAGCCTCCATTCCCGTCTGAGAGGCGGCTCTGGTCACAAGGTGCTCGGTCACAAGCTTTGACTGCGCATACCCCATGCCCTGGGCACACTTGAGACTTGGGGGAAGCGCTTCTGCCACGGCATCACCAGGAGTATTCGTCACTGTGGAGACTGACGAGCAGAAATTGAAAGAAGCCGGGGTAAGTTGTTGGGCTGAGAGGCAGAGGAGCATCAAATGCCGGGTACCTGCAATGCAGTCTCCCTCAAAGCTACTGAGGTTTTTGTTGAAGTTGACTGACCAGGCACAGTGCACTAGGCTTGTGATCTTTGCTGAAATGCTGACATAGACAGTCTCTCCGAGGCCCAGGTCTGCTTTCGAAAAGTCAGATGGATAGCAAGAGATCTTGCGACGCAAATCCAGTGGAAGCGTGTGATACAGTGCTCGGCGCTGCATCGATTCAACGACCCGTCGACGGGCAGACGACTTGGAACTGGCTCGGACCAAACAGCATACCTCTGAAATATCTTGACGGTTGACAAGCTGTGCCACAAGGTGAGCTCCCAAGGAACCTGTTGCGCCTGTGACAACAATGCAACGCTCTGTAGAGTTGGATGGTACAGGTACATGTCGGGGAAACTCGCTATACTGCTCAACAAGCCGTTCCATTTCTTTGACCACATCTCGCGTTTCGCCCAATTTACGATCACGAATGTTGACAATGGCAGCGGCCAGTTTGGAGATGGTGGGATATTCAAACACAATGTTCTGTGGCAACGGGTTACCATTCAGTTGAACCTCCTTCAATATCTCGGCTCGGAGTCTCGTCGACTGCAGAGAGTCAACACCGAGTGAGAACAAGTCAGTATCATCTGTCAGACATGTGGGCTCCTCTTGAGGACAAAGCTCCAGCAAATGTCTGCGGAGAAATTCTCGCAGCTCGGACTCTGAGAGCACAAGGGTGCCAGCCGTTCTCGACTCTGCTTGGTGATACACCTCCTCGATTTTATTGTGGAAAGCTCGGTAAAATGCCTGACGTATCAGAGAACCTTTGTCGGTGCAAGGATATGCGGTTCCGGCGGGCAGGACCGTTACCATGTCTTTGGCCAGTTGTGCATAAGCAGGCAAGGCCTTGTTCTCCGCCACGATGGTTGGCCAAATTGACTCGAGCAGATCTCCGGCGCTCATGCCAGCTCCTTGCTCGGAAGCAATGACCATCATACCCAACTGGCTCTTACCCGTCCCAAACATGACGGCTTCTCTCACCAGTTTGTTCTGTCGCAGCGCTTGTTCCATGGCAAGAGGAATGGCTTTCTCGCCGTTAACCAAGACAAGAGTATCATCAAGCCGACCGCAATATTTCCATGCTCCTGGTATTGATGGATGGGGCTCGAAGAGATCTTTCGTTGCATACGATCCATCGTCGCGGTTTGTCGCAACCTTGGAGGGCCACCCATCCAAAACACAAAGCTCATACAGGTTCCCTCCTTTGGGTTCCATCCTGAGATAAGGCTTCAGCTGGTCGTGTTCCCGAACGTAATTCCAGGCCTTGTCGTCAGCAGGTCTGAAGGATGTCATCAACTGACCAGTCTCTGTCGTTCCATAGTGGCTGATCAAGTTGACTCCGCCTTCGGTCAACAAGTCGCCCAAAGCATCCGGACATGCTGAGCCTCCGAACATGACCACCTTTAGAGCCGCTAGAGCATCGATGCCCTCCTGCGTCTCGCTCAAGAGCTTGAGAGCATATGGAACTGCGAGAAAGATCTCGAATTGGTGGTCCGTCAGGATCGTCAGCAGGTGCTGGCTGGTCAACGGTAGGTTGGCATTGTATATGTATATTTTCTTGACGGCAGTGATGCCACGAAAGACGTTACTGAGGCCGAAGGCATGGAAGAGTGGCAGCGTGACGAAGCCACGCATTCTCAAGCTGTTTTCATAGTTCTTCAGTGCCGCCTTGTGGGTTTGATAAATCGGTTTGGGGAGACCAGTCGAGCCAGACGAGTGAATGATCCATGCCACCTTGGAGGATTCCTGGTCCAGATCAAAATGCTGCTGCTGTAGTGCGGCGTCGTCTGGTTGGGTGTCGGTCATATACTGCGCTTGGGACAAGATATCGATGACCTCCAACCCACCTCTAGCAGCCGCCAGAGCATTTGCAGTCTTTCGGAACGACGAACCAACGACGATATGGCGGCATTTCGTGACGTCCAGCAACGACAAATACGCGGCCTGGGATATTCTCGTCGACAAAAAGAGGATCGTGAACCCTAGTCTCGACAGAGCCAAGAGGGTGAAGAAGTAATCCAGATCCGATGGCCCCAGTAGGGCAATGACTCGTGTCTCTTGGTGAGAGTCGGTACGAGATGGCAAGCATTCTGCATATCGCCGGGCAGCTTGCGAGGATATTCTCACGAGGTCCGAGTATGTGTACTCGAGATAGTCGAGAGCGTCCGAGGGATACCCGAAGATGGACTCGTCAGGGAAATCTCGCGCCCTCAGTGACAAGAGTTCTGTGATGGTTCGAGGGCTTGGGAGTGGTGGTGATAACGGTGGCGTGGGTGGTTGCAGCGACGGGGACGCGACTGGGCTGACTTTCGAGACAGGTAGGGGGGATCTCATTTGCACGGATGCCATCCTGCTTGTTCTATTGTTGAGGTCGTTTTCTTTTGCGCTAATATCAGATGTATAGGGCGAGAAGAACGGACATATAAGAATCTCTGCGGATGCCTTGCTGGATCTTTGCCAGGAGTGGAACCACTGTCCAAACGAGGCAATATCCTTGAGGTGGGCGTGGTGGCGGCACCGTTAGTGGAGCGCTTGTTCAAAGGAAGAGGAGGATACGGTGATCATTCCTTTGGCGACAAAGCAGTCAATTATCCGTCGGCTCATCGTTGTTTGCTCGATGAATGATTGGAGATCGATGGACCTTTGTCTAGGATCGCATATCAAACCAAGGTGACATATGTACGAAGACGCCCGACATTCCGCAGCCGTGCTTACTTGTATGCCAACTGGCCGAATACGCCCACGGGTGGAGCAACCGCGTTTTACTCCAAAGGTGGACACTCTCCCTGCAAGGATACGAGGATTCCGTCGGAGCAGCCGACGGAAGAAGCAAGACGCTCGTGAAACTTGACAGGGCCTGGTGTTCGTCTTCAGGGGCAACAGCCTCACGGTATTGCGGTCGTGTCGTCGGCAATTATGCATCTGCAGGTAAGAGCATTGGCTGAGCATTGACTGGGTTGTCTAACTAAATCGTCCAGACCGTTGAAGCTAGAGGTGTTTCCATCGATCAGCTCTCTTTTGTTGGTTGTAGATATTGCAAGAGCATTCAGCAGATCTATTACCTACATCAGATCTCCCACCTTCCTACACAAGATTTCGGTACGATCGAACAGATCAAGTGGCATCGGAGACGGCACTAGCCAGTCGTCATCAGCATAGCTATTCTGCTCGCTCCTCGCAGCAGATCTGCCGTGCACATATACAACCACACATCAGTTTTCAGCCTGATAATACTTACCACCGGGATCCAACAGGACTGCGAATGAGGTATAGTCTCTGATGGCTAGGTCTGATCGATCACAAACATGTCCTCATCAACACCTATGCCAATTGCCGCTAGCCAACATGGAGCAGCACGACGGGATATGTCGCCAAAGCAGCAAGAAACGCCGCTCCCGCGTAAGGGCGCGATCGCAGCGTCCAGAGTCTCTGGAAACCGGACCTTCATCTGGAGCTGTACCTGTCAGAGAAAGGAGTGATTTGCATCAATTGAGCCAATCCGGAAATACATGGTAAAGTTGGCCACGGGCATTCAAAACTGGACGGGGAATTAACCGAACGAGACTGGATATTTTTCAACGATGATGAAGTGACATGCCACAGCTCTGGGGAACTCTGGGAATATTTCTAACCCTCCATGCTACAGTTGCGGCCTCCTACATGGGAAATTACATGTTTCTGGTCGGGAGCGGAATTCCTCTGGTGTCCGAATGCCTGATGTGTCCAGCCATGGAATTCCGTCTCAAGCGGAATCCCGGTCGCGATTCTGTCCCTGGGCCCGGCTGGAGTAATGACATATAACAGTCTCATTACATCCTGGGACAGAAATCCCGTCAAAAACGAGATTGAAAACCTCTCCTGTCCCGCCCGTGCTATGTATAAAGACGTCCACCAGCTGCCTTGACCTCTCTTGGACATAGTCAGACCTCCAGTCCTATTCAAAAGTCGTTCACGCAACGTCCCCACAATGGCCACTCCCACAACCGCGAAACGCAGTCATTCTACCCCGTCGGTGCCGAAAGGAGAGACTAGTGTCGTGGAATTTTTAGGGACGAACAAGGACAGAGACCTCCCAGACACCATCGACGACCAACAGCTGGCGGAGAAGAATCAAATCGACATCCAAACAGACAACAAGAATGGTGAATTTCCTCACGGGTTTCGACTCATCTGCCTAGTCATAGGCCTGTGTATGGCATCTTTCCTAGTTTCCCTCGACATGGTCTGACTCCCTACTCTCTACTCAAACACGCAGTGAATTGACGTGAGGTGGAAACAGACAATCGTTGCCACGGCCATCCCCCGAATCACCGACCAGTTCCAGACCATCAGCGACATCTCCTGGTATGGCGCAGCCTTCTTCATGTGCGTCGGCGGCTCCACGTCAGCCTGGGGGAGAGTCTACAAGTTCTTCCCTCTCAAGAATACGTTTGTCGTCGCCGTCCTGATCTTTGAACTCGGCTCGTTGATCTGCGGCGTGGCCCCCAACTCAGACACCCTCATCGCCGGACGGGCCATTGCTGGCCTCGGTGCGGCTGGCATCTCGTCGGGAGCCTATACCATGATCGCCTTTTCGGCGCCGGCCCCCAAGAGGCCCATGCTGATGGGGATTATTGGCGGCACGGCTGGGATCGCGGCGGTCGTCGGACCTCTCATTGGCGGCGTCTTCGCCAACTCGGTCACCTGGCGCTGGTGCTTCTACATCAACCTCCCCATCGGCGGCCTCTCGACGGCAGTGATCCTGTTCTTGTTCCGCCCTCCAGCGTCTACGCGGCCTCAGTCGACGACGACCTGGATGCACCGGTTGCTGCACATCGACATCGTGGGCACGGCCATGGCGATGGGCGGACTCATCTCCATCATTCTCGCCCTCCAGTACGGCGGCACGACGCACCCGTGGGACTCAGCCGTGGTGATTGGCCTCCTCATGGGCTCCGTCGCCATCTTCACCGCGCTGGGTCTGTGGGAGTGGTTCCAGGGCGAGCGGGGCATGATCCCGCCTCACCTGATCAGCCGCCGCACGGTGCTCGTGCCCGCGGTGTTCACGTCGCTGTTTTCCGGCGCCTTCTTCCTCGAGATCTACTACCTGCCCATCTACTTCCAGTCGATTGACGGCGCCGACCCGACCACGTCGGCCGTGCATAATCTGCCGCTCATCATCGCCATCACGGTCGGCACGATTGTGGCGGGTGTCTTCATCGCGCGCACCGGCCTGGCGACGCCTGTGCTCGTTGTCGGGGCGGCCATCGCCACCGCGGGCGCTGGCCTGATCTACACGCTGGACATTGGCTCGTCGACAGGTAAATGGGTGGGCTACCAGATCTTGGGGGGGGGTCGGATGGGGCCTGGCGTTTCAGGTGCCGGTGATGACAGTCCAAGGGTTTTCGTCCGCAGAGGACCTCTCGTCCACGACGGCTATTGTATTGTGTAAGCCCTCTTCCTTTTTGCATTTTTCCCCCTTCCTTGTTTCAACAACATAACCAAGACCATGTCATACCATACCATACCATACCGTGCCCTACCAAGCCAAAGCATCCCCAGCGCCCTCTCTTCCCGCTCTCTCTTTCTAACATCTGCCATCCGAGCTGCCATCTAATCTGCCACATGATCTAACATGAACCCCTCCCTCTACGGAGGGACCTAGTCTTCCAAACGACCGGCGGCGCCCTCTTCGTCTCGACGGGCCAATCCGCCTTCGTCAACACCCTAACCCGCCAAATCCGGCAGACACACCCCTCGCTCCCGCCGGGACTGGTCAACACCACGGGCGCCTCGGACCTGCGCCGCGTCTTTGACCCCGCAGTCCCCCCCCGCCGGGGTGCCGCGTATGCGTCGGGGTTGAAGGGCTGTCCCCTTACCACACCCGCCGCCTCCCACGATCCACCCCTGGTCAGACTAGGTTGGCGCCGGCGTACAAACAACAAAACAA